CCCCAGAGGCCCCAAACACACCCCCGATCCCTGCGAGGCCCCGAAAGTCCCCGACGAGGCTCCAAGAACAGCCCCAGAGAGCTGCGAGAGCCGTCCCGAGAGAGCCCAAAGAGGGTAAAATCGTTGATTCCCCATTGCTTTGTTTCAATTGTTTTCGCCTTCTGACGTTTTCCCGCTTCCAACCCTCGAAGATCGAGGATTTTATTGGGAACTACCCTGTGACGTACCCAACCCTTTCTATACATGTGGCGATTATACTCAGGACCATTCAAAGCTGACTGGCATATTCTGAAGGACCCGCAGTGCGCAAGAAGAGCACCCAGCAGTGATTTCAGAAGAGCGCAGCAAGAAGAGAAACGGCACATATACAAAATGGAAACACGGGGGCGATGAAAGGAACGCGTATGACGTACCTCCGAGTGATCCATTTGGGACGTACCTCCGCTGGGCCTCCCAGGAGCCCACGAAAGTGGCGGCAGTTGCGCAGATCGCAAGCCCCCCCAGGGGGCGGCGAGGTCCCGAGGTGATCCGTGTGGGACCCACCTCCGCTGGGCCGCCGAGGAGCCAACGAAAGTGGCGGCAGTTGCGCAGATCGCAAGCCCCCCAGGGGGCGGCGAGGTCCCGAGGTGATCCGCGTGGGACCCACCTCCGCTGGGCCTCCCAGGAGCAAACGAAAGTGGCGACAGTTGCGCAGATCGCAAGCCCCCAGGGTGCGGCGAGGTCCCGAGGTGATCCGCGTGGGACCCACCTCCGCTGGGCCTCCCATGAGCCCACGAAAGTGGCGACGGTTGCGCAGATCGCAAGCACCCCAGGGGGCGGCGAGGTCCCGAGGTGATCCGCGTGGCCACGAAAGTGGCGGCAGTAGCGCAGATCGCAAGCCCCCCAGGGGGCGGCGAGGTCCCGAGGTGATCCGCGTGGGACCCACCTCCGCTGGGCCTCCCAGGGGCCCACGAAAGTGGCGACCATTGCGCAGATCGCAAGCCTTCCAGGGGGCTGCAAGGTCCCGAGGTGATCCGCGTGGGACCCACCTCCGCTGGGCCTCCCAGGAGCCCACGAAAGTGGCGGCGTTGCGCAGATCGCAAGCCCCCCAGGGGGCGGCGAGGTCCCGAGGTGATCCGCGTGGGACTACCTCCGCTGGGCCTCCCAGGAGCCCACGAAAGTGGCGACGGTTGCGCAGATCGCAAGCCCCCCAGGGGGCGGCGAGGTCCCGAGGTGATCCGCGTGGGACCCAGCTCCGATGGGCCTCCCAGGAGCCCACGGAAGTGGCGACAGTTGCCAAGATCGCAAGCCCCCCAGGGGGCGGCGAGGTCCCGAGGAGATCCGCGTGGGACCCACCTCCGCTGGGACCCCCCAGGAGCCCACGAAAGTGGCGACAGTTGCGCAGATCGCAAGCACCCCAGGGTGCGGCGAGGTCCCGAGGTGATCCGCGTGGGACCCACCTTCGCTGGGCCTCCCAGGAGCCAACGAAAGTGGCGACAGTTGCGCAGATCGCAAGCCCCCCAGGGGGCGGCGAGGTCCCGAGGTGATCCGCGTGGGACCCGCCTCCGCTGGGCCTCCCAGGAGCCCACGAAAGTGGCGGCAGTTGCGCAGATCGCAAGCCCCCCAGGGGGCGGCGAGGTCCCGAGGTGATCCGTGTGGGACCCACCTCCGCTGGGCCGCCGAGGAGCCAACGAAAGTGGCGACAGTTGCGCAGATCGCAAGCCCTCCAGGGGGCGGCGAGGTCCCGAGGTGATCCGCGTGGGACCCACCTCCGCTGGGCCTCCCAGGAGCCCACGAAAACGGTGACAGTTGCGCAGGTCGCATAGCCCTCCAGGGGGCGGCGAGGTCCCGAGGTGATCCGCGTGGGACCCACCTCCGCTGGTCCTCCCAGGAGCCCACGAAAGTGGCGGCAGTTGCGCAGATCGCAAGCCCCCCAGGGAGCGGCGAGGTCCCGAGGTGATCCGCGTGGGACCCACCTCCGCTGGACTTCCCAGGAGCCCGGGAACGTGGTGACAGTTGCGCAGATCGCAAGCCCCCCAGGAGGCGGCGAGGTCCCGAGGTGATCCGCGTGGGACCCACCTCCGCTGGGCCCCCCAGGAGCCCACGAAAGTGGCGACAGTTGCCAAGATCGCAAGCCCCCCAGGGGGCGGCGAGGTCCCGAGGTGATCCGCGTGGGACCCGCCTCCGCTGGGCCTCCCAGGAGCCCACGAAAGTGGCGGCAGTTGCGCAGATCGCATAGCCCCCCAGGGCGCGGCGAGGTCCCGAGGTGATCCGCGTGGGACCCACCTCCGCTGGGCCGCCGAGGAGCCCACGAAAGTGGCGGCAGTAGCGCAGATTGCAAGCCCCCCAGGGGGCGGCGAGGTCCCGAGGTGATCCGCGTGGTGGTGCCCACCTCCGCTGGGCCTCCCAGGGGCCCACGAAGGTGGCGACCATTGCGCATATCGCAAGCCCCCAGGGGGCTGCGAGGTCCCGAGGTGATCCGCGTGGGACCCACCTCCGCTGGGCCTTCCAGGAGCCCACGAAAGTGGCGGCAGTTGCGCAGATCGCAAGTCCCCCAGGGGGCGGCGAGGTCCCGAGGTGATCCGCGTGGGACCCACCTCCGCTGGGCCTCCCCGGAGCCGACGAAAGTGGCGACAGTTGCCAAGATCGCAAGCCCTCCAGGGGGCTGCGAGGTCCCGAGGTGATCCGCGTGTGACCCACCTCCGCTGGGCCTCCCAGGAGCCAACGGATATGGCGACAGTTGCGCAGGTGGCATCCCCCCCAGGGGGCGGCGCGGTCCCGAGGTGATCCGCGTGGGACCCACCTCCGCTGGGCCGCCGAGGAGCCCACGAAAGTTGCGGCAGTTGCGCAGATCGCAAGCTCCCCAGGGGGCGGCGAGGTCCCGAGGTGATCCGCGTGGGACCCACCTCCGCTGGACCTCCCAGGAGCCCACGAAAGTGGCGACAGTTGCGCAGATCGCAGATGGCACGAGAGAAGAGGAGGGGAGCACAGGAAACAGGAGAGGAGGAGGGGAGGTGGGGGGAGGAGAAGAAGGAGGCCAGGGCGACCACACTGCTCTATTCAAAGCGAGCATCCAACCATAGGAGGGTTGGGAAAGAAGGAGCCCACGAAAGTGGCGGCAGTTGCGAAGATCGCAAGCCCCCCAGGGGGCGGCGAGGTCCCGAGGTGATCCGCGTGGGACCCACCTCCGCTGGGCCGCCCAGGAGCCCACGAACGTGGCGGCAGTTGCGAAGATCGCAAGCCCCCCAGGGGGCGGCGAGGTCCCGAGCTGATCCGCGCGGGGCCCACATCCGCTGGGCCTCCCAGGAGCCCACGAAAGTGGCGACAGCTTGCGCAGATCGCAAGCACCCCAGGGGGCGGCGCGGTCCCGATGTGATCCGCGTGGGACCCACCTCCGCTGGGCCTCCCAGGAGCCCACGAAAGTGGCGACAGTTGCGCAGATCGCAAGCCCCCCAGGGGGCTGCGAGGTCCCGAGGTGATCCGCGTGGGACCCACCTCCGCTGGTCCTCCCAGGAGCCCACGAAAGTGGCGACAGTTGCGCAGGTCGCAAACCCCAGGTGGCGGCGAGGTCCCGAGGTGATCCGCGTGGGACCACCTCCGCTGGGCCTTCCAGGATCCCACGAAAGTGGCGGCAGTAGCGCAGATCGCAAGCTCCCCAGGGGGCGGCGAGGTCCCGAGGTGATCCGCGTGGGACCCACCTCCGCTGGGCCTCCCAGGAGCCCACGAAAGTGGCGACAGTTGCGCAGGTCGCAAACCCCAGGTGGCGGCGAGGTCCCGAGGTGATCCGCGTGGGACCACCTCCGCTGGGCCTTCCAGGATCCCACGAAAGTGGCGGCAGTAGCGCAGATCGCAAGCTCCCCAGGGGGCGGCGAGGTCCCGAGGTGATCCGCGTGGGACCCACCTCCGCTGGGCCTCCCAGGAGCCCACGAAAGTGGCGGCAGTTGCGCAGATCGCAAGCCCCCCAGGGGGCGGCGAGGTACCGAGGTGATCCGCGTGGGACCCACCTCCGCTGGTCCTCCCAGGAGCCCACGAAAGTGGCGACAGTTGCGCAGATCGCAGATGGCACGAGAGAAGAGGAGAGGGGAGCACAGGAAACAGGAGAGGAGGAGGGGAGGTGGGGGGAGGAGAAGAAGGAGGCCGGGGCGACCACACTGCTCTATTCAAATCGAGTACCCAACCATAGGAGGGTTGGGACAAAAAGGGATTCCCAGCATTCCCGTTTTTTTCAAAGTGGGACTCCGACTCGGAGATCCAACACATCCCCTGACATCTGGCCGGTACCGCGTCTCCCGGCTTCCGAGGGGGCCCCCAAGACGCCCAAGGACAGCCCAAGACGACCCCAAGGAGCCCCCAGAACGTAAAGAACGGCCCAACACGCTCCCGCGCAGCCCGAGACACCCTTCCGACAGCTCTCCGGGCCTCCAGGAGCCCTCCAGAACCCCCAGGGGGTCCGGAAGCCACACCCCCGAGGGGCCCGGCTAACAAAACCCGCGAGGCACAAATAAAAAACAACGCCGAATAGCGCCGAGGAACTGGAAAAAACGGGAATCCCATAATTCCTTTTTCGTTTTTTTGTTTTTCAAGTTTGGTTCCCAGTCTACTCTTGAAAAACAGACTACAATTCAGACCCCCTCACCTCCCCCCAAAAACCTAGGAAGCCTTTGAGGGTCTCAAATCGTTGAATACCCAAAGGAAATCAATTAATGATTTCTGCGTCTCCGCACTCGAGGCTTGCGCAGGGCCTCCAAGGGAGTCCCTGGACGTAGGAAGCGACCAAAACGAGATTACATGAGTTGGCCGATCAAGCCTAGCTACGACTGGGGGCTTGGGACCGCGACCTCGAGCGCGCATGGGGTACCGGGGCCTCTGGGGCGCTCCTGGGACGGCTCCCGAGGGCGCCGGATGCCGCCAAACAGATCAAGAGGGCGCACGAGCCTCGCAATGTAGCTTGAAGACGCCGACGATGGCTCCAAGAGGGCTCCCGGGAGCCCCCGAGACAGCCCAAGAGTCTTGTGCCCAAGAGGGCCCCAAGAGCCCTCCCAAGAGGGCCCCAAGAGGCAAAAAAGCCGTAGCCACTTTGGCTCAACGTCGTCGTGTTCTCACATCGCCACTGAACATTCATTACTACACCTCTTGGCCTTCGTCGACGCAACAATGGTACACGGACTGATCTTTGCGGTGGCATCTGCGCTCGCTCACACTGTTGGCGCGGATATGCAGTTCCTGCAGACGTCTGTGCATGGGCCGGACGGTTTCGAGGCCGCAGAGCTACGGACTGAAGACTCCACGGACCTGGCGTATTACCTGGCATTGGACATTACGACCCAGAGCAACGAGTTTTTGTACAACGGCGCCGCATGGGAGCAAACCGCCGCATATACAGATCCCTCGGGAAACAGATTGCTGGCTCCCTTCTTCAGTACCGATGCTGTTGGCCTAAGAGTCGAGATGAACGGACAGAGCCATGACTTCTTTTTCGAGAACTCAGATTTGGGTAAGTCCTTGCACACGCTTGTCACAGGGACGCCTGTGTTGCAAACCCCGTGTTCAGGTGTCAGTTCTAGTAAACCTTACGCTTACGCTATGGTGCAAACCTCGACTGCGCATTCGGACTTGTGGGGCGTTGTGGCCACTAACTCTGCCGAACCGCTTTATTGTACTGATGTTGACAGGTTGAGTTTCAACGCGTACCGGTTGAATCTGCAATTTCGTATTGGAATTCTGCGCGATGAAGAATCGTGTTGCTGTTGTCCTGGATCAGCCGACGGTATCGGGATTCATTCTGTGTCAAGTGGAGCACACGAGTGGCCAGGCACCCAGGTGTTCTACGCTTCCAGGGTATACGTGATCACACCAACCCCTGCGCCTACACCAGCACCAACTCCAGACCCTACGACGGTGTGCACGTGGCTCTCGACAACGTCGAACGACAACATACTCGAGTGCACTGATGGAACGCTATGCTCTGGGGTGTCGGATGGCTGGGGATGCTGCGAGGATCATGGAGGCAGAGCGCGGTGCCCCCCGAATTTTCCAGCCATGTGTGAACAACGTGCTTGCGGCGGATACGGCGACCACTGCTGTGAAGTGAGCTGCTCGCACATGGGCGGCGTGCGGGAGTGCCCGCAGGAGGCGTCGACGCCAGCACCAACGCCAGCACCGACGACGTCATTGTCCTCCGCCACCGGCGATCCACACTTGCAGAACATGTTCGGTCAGCGGTTCGATTTGGTGAGGCCAGGCAAATTTGTCTTGGTCAGCGTTCCGCGCGGAACGCCCGTCGAGGATGCGCTGCTTGTTGTAGAGGCCGACGCGCGTCGATTGGGGACACACTGCTCGGACATGTACTTCCAGGAGATCAACGCCACAGGGACGTGGGCGAACAAGGTGCGGCCTGGAGGCCTTCACTTCGACGCTCACGACGCGCGTGACGAGACGCCGAAGTGGCTGAAACTCGGGCTTGTGGAGCTCAAAGTCGGCAGCGGTCATACCGATAAGGGGCAGCCTTATCTGAACGTCTACGTCAAGAACCTTCAGCGCACTGGATATCGTGTCGGAGGGCTGCTGGGAGAGGATGACCACACGGAGGCGGCGGCGCCTGAGGAAGGGTGCCAGAAGATGTTGTCCCTCGAGGCGCGGTTGTATGATCAAGCTTCGCATCTACAGGGCTCCGTCGCAATTGGCTACTGAGCCGAGGGCTCCCGCCTCCGCGCGGGGCGGTCGAGCCCGCCCGCCCGTCCGCAACGGGTTGATTGATGTTCCCCGCCGACGTTTACGTCGTGGTGCAGTGGCCCACCAGTACCCTGCCTCTTTTGCCACTTTTGCATCTTTAGTACGTTCTGCAGAGAGCAGAGCAGACCAGATCCCGCACGGTCGCAGGGCCAGTCCTGCACAGGACACGGGAGGACACAAAAATTATCTTGGCGAAGGACCCGACCATATGAAGTTGTGGGTACCGCAATTGTGAATATCTTCTTCTGTGAAGCTCCCTATGGGGCCACGAAGCGCTGCGCTAGGCGGCATGCGGGCGGTAGCAGCACTGGGGCCGTCGGTGAAGCTCCCTATAAGGCCACGAAACGCTGTACAGGGTGGGTGAGAATACCAAATTAGGCGTGTGGGACGCATGCGGGCGGTCCCATTGGGGGCTTCGTCGGTGGAGCTCCCTCTGGGGCCACGAAACGCTGTGCTGGGTGGGTGGACGCATGCGGGCACACCTACTGGGGGCTTCGGTGGGGCTCCCTATGGGGCCACGAAACGCTCTGCTGTGTGGGTGGCAATGCCAAGTTGGGCGTCGGAGACGCATGCGGGCGGTCCCACTGGGGGCTTCGGTGGGGCTCCCTATTGGGCCGCGAAGCGTTGTAGTGTGTGGGTGAAAATGCCAAATTGGATGTGGGGGACGCATGTGGGCGGTTCCACTGGGGGCTTCGGTGGAACTCCCTATGGGGTCACAAAGCGCCGTTGCACTGGGTGGGTGAACATGCCAAATTGGGCGTGGGGGACGCATGCGGGCGGTCCCACTAGGGGCTTCGGTGGAGCTCCCTGCGAGGCCACGAAACGTTGTACTGGGTGGGTGCAAATGTCAAATTGGGTGTGCGGGACGCATGCGGGCACACCCACTGGGACCTTCGGTGGAGCTCCCTATTGGGCCACGAAGCGTGTGAAGGGTGTGCCGAAATGGGTATGCGGGACGCATGCGGGCACACCCACTGGGACTTTCGGTGGAGCTCCCTAAGGGGCCACGAAACGTGTGAGGGGTGTGCCGAAATGGGTGTGCGGGACGCATGCGGGCACACCCACTGGGACCTTCGGTGGAGCCCCCTATGGGGCGACGAAGCGTGTGAGGGGTGTGCCGAAATGGGTGTGCGGGACGCTTGCGGGCACACCCACTGGGACCTTCGGTGGAGCTCCCTATGGGGCCACGAAACGTGTGAGGGGTGTGCCGAAATGGGTGTGCGGGACGCATGCGGGCACCCATGGGACCTTCGGTGGAGCTCCCTATGGGCCACGAATCGTGTGAGGGGTGTGCCCGACATGTGTTGTGTGTGTGTGTGTGTGTGTGTGTGCTGCGTGTGGTGTGTGCGGGACGCATGCGGGCAGCACCCACTGGGAGCGGCGTTCGGACGGAGCTCCCCTATGGGGGTCCACGAAACGTGTGAGGGGTGTGCCGAAATGGGTGTGCGGGACGCATGGCGGGCACGACCCACCGGGGAGGTCTTCGGTGGAGGCCCCCCTATGGGGCCACGAAACGTGTGAAGGGTGTGGGGCCGAAATGGGTGTGCGGGAGCGGCATGCTGGCAGGCACCCACTAGGACCAGCTTTCGGTGGAGGCAGCCCGGGGGGCTTCGGCGAAACGTGTGAAGGGTGTGTCGAAATGGGTGTGCGGGGACGGCATGCGGGGCACCAACCATTGGGACCTTCGGTGGAGCTCCGGCGTGGGGCCACGATATGTGACGATGATGGGATACTGACGGTGACGACGACGATCCGACTATGATGATGATGATATGATGCTGATGATGATGATGACGATAATGATGATGATGATGATGATGATGATGATGATGATGATGACGATGATTTTGATGATGATGATGATGATGATGATGATGATGATGATGATGATGATGATGATGATGATGATGATGATGTTGATGATGCTGATGATGATGATGATGATGATGATGATGATGATGATGATGATGATGATGATGGGGTACCGGGGCCTCTGGGGCGCTCGTGGGACGGCTCCCGAGGGCGCCAGATGCCGCCAAACAGATCAAGAGGGCGCACGAGCCTCGCAATGTAGCTTGAAGACGCCGACGATGGCTCCAAGAGGGCTCCCGGGAGCCCCCGAGACAGCCCAAGAGTCTTGTGCCCAAGAGGGTCCCAAGAGCCCTCCCAAGAGGGCCCCAAGAGGCAAAAAAGCCGTAGCCACTTTGGCTCAACGTCGTCGTGTTCTCACATCGCCACTGAACATTCATTACTACACCTCTTGGCCTTCGTCGACGCAACAATGGTACACGGACTGATCTTTGCGGTGGCATCTGCGCTCGCTCACACTGTTGGCGCGGATATGCAGTTCCTGCAGACGTCTGTGCATGGGCCGGACGGTTTCGAGGCCGCAGAGCTACGGACTGAAGACTCCACGGACCTGGCGTATTACCTGGCATTGGACATTACGACCCAGAGCAACGAGTTTTTGTACAACGGCGCCGCATGGGAGCAAACCGCCGCATATACAGATCCCTCGGGAAACAGATTGCTGGCTCCCTTCTTCAGTACCGATGCTGTTGGCCTAAGAGTCGAGATGAACGGACAGAGCCATGACTTCTTTTTCGAGAACTCAGATTTGGGTAAGTCCTTGCACACGCTTGTCACAGGGACGCCTGTGTTGCAAACACCGTGTTCAGGTGTCAGTTCTAGTAAATCCTTAACGCTTACGCTAGTGGTGCAACCTCGACTGGCCTCCTCCGGACGTGTGGGGAGGCGTTGTGGGCCACTAACTCTGGAAACTCTGGGTCTGCCGAACCGCTTTAATTGATAGCTGTGTTGACAAAGGTTTGAGTTTCAAAACGCGTACGGCGGTTGAATCGTGGGCAATTTCGTATTGGAATTTCTGCGCGATGAAGATCGTGTTGGCTTGTTGTCTCTGGATACCGCCTAAAACGGTATCGGGATGTCTTCTGTGTCAAGTGGAGGCACACGAGTGGCCAGAGCAGGCCCAGGTGTTGCTAGGCGCTTCCAGGGTATACGTGATCACAAACCAACCCCTGCGCCTACCCCACCTACCCCAGCACCAACTCCAGACCCTACGACGGTGTGCACGTGGCTCTCTACAACGTCCGCACGACAACATATCTCGAGTGCCGGTGATGGAAGCTATGCTCTGGGGTGTCGGATGGCTGGGGATGCTGCGAGGTCATGGAGGCAGAGCGCGGTGGGCCCCGCCTAGAATTTTCCGCCATGTGTGAACAACGTGCTTGCGCGGGTACTGCGACCATGCTGTGAGTGAGCTGCTCGGTCAACATGGGCGGGGCGTGCGGGAGTGCCGCGCAGGAGGCGTCGACGCCAGCACCAACGCCAGCACCGACGACGTCATTGTCCTCCGCCACCGGCGATCCACACTTGCAGAACATGTTCGGTCAGCGGTTCGATTTGGTGAGGCCAGGCAAATTTGTCTTGGTCAGCGTTCCGCGCGGAACGCCCGTCGAGGATGCGCTGCTTGTTGTAGAGGCCGACGCGCGTCGACTGGGGACACACTGCTCGGACATGTACTTCCAGGAGATCAACGGCCACAGGGACGTGGGCGATACAAGGTGCGGCCTGGAGGCCTTCACTTCGACGCTCACGACGCGCGTGACGAGACGCCGAAGTGGCTGAAACTCGGGCTTGTGGAGCTCAAAGTCGGCAGCGGTCATACCGATAAGGGGCAGCCTTATCTGAACGTCTACGTCAAGAACCTTCAGCGCACTGGATATCGTGTCGGAGGGCTGCTGGGAGAGGATGACCACACGGAGGCGGCGGCGCCTGAGGAAGGGTGCCAGAAGATGTTGTCCCTCGAGGCGCGGTTGTATGATCAAGCTTCGCATCTACAGGGCTCCGTCGCAATTGGCTACTGAGCCGAGGGCTCCCGCCTCCGCGCGGGGCGGTCGAGCCCGCCCGCCCGTCCGCAACGGGTTGATTGATGTTCCCCGCCGACGTTTACGTCGTGGTGCAGTGGCCCACCAGTACCCTGCCTCTTTTGCCACTTTTGCATCTTTAGTACGTTCTGCAGAGAGCAGAGCAGACCAGATCCCGCACGGTCGCAGGGCCAGTCCTGCACAGGACACGGGAGGACACAAAAATTATCCTGGCGAAGGACCCGACCATATGAAGTTGTGGGTACCGCAATTGTGAATATCTTCTTCTGTGAAGCTCCCTATGGGGCCACGAAGCGCTGCGCTAGGCGGCATGCGGGCGGTAGCAGCACTGGGGCCGTCGGTGAAGCTCCCTATAAGGCCACGAAACGCTGTACAGGGTGGGTGAGAATACCAAATTAGGCGTGTGGGACGCATGCGGGCGGTCGCCATTGGGGGCTTCGTCGGTGGATCTCCCTCTGGGGCCAACGAAACGCTGTGCTGGGTGGGGGGACTGCATGCGGGCACACCTACTGGGGCTTCGGTGGAGTGCCCCCTATGGGGCCGACGAACGCTCTGCTGTGTGGGTGGCAATAGCCAAGTTGGGCGTCGAGACGCTGCGGGGCGGTCCCACTGGGGGCTTCGGTGGGGCTCCCTATTGAGGGCCGCGAAGCGTTGTAGTGTGTGGGTGAAAATGCCAAATTGGATGTGGGGGACGCATGTGGGCGGTTCCACTGGGGGCTTCGGTGGAACTCCCTATGGGGTCACAAAGCGCCGTTGCACTGGGTGGGTGAACATGCCAAATTGGGCGTGGGGGACGCATGCGGGCGGTCCCACTAGGGGCTTCGGTGGAGCTCCCTGTGAGGCCACGAAACGTTGTACTGGGTGGGTGCAAATGTCAAATTGGGTGTGCGGGACGCATGCGGGCACACCCACTGGGACCTTCGGTGGAGCTCCCTATTGGGCCACGAAGCGTGTGAAGGGTGTGCCGAAATGGGTATGCGGGACGCATGCGGGCACACCCACTGGGACTTTCGGTGGGGCTCCCTAAGGGGCCACGCAACGTGTGAGGGGTGTGCCGAAATGGGTGTGCGGGACGCATGCGGGCACACCCACTGGGACCTTCGGTGGAGCCCCCTATGGGGCGACGAAGCGTGTGAGGGGTGTGCCGAAATGGGTGTGCGGGACGCTTGCGGGCACACCCACTGGGACCTTCGGTGGAGCTCCCTATGGGGCCGCGAAACATGTGAGGGGTGTGCCGAAATGGGTGTGCGGGACGCAATCGGGCACACCCACTGGGACCTTCGGTGGAGCCCCCTAT